AAAGCTGAATCTTATGTGGAAGCATCCTGGGGTTGTGTGAATTCTGAATCATTCAAATCATGACCCCCAGGGGTAGGGTGGGGCCTCAATAGGAAATCCAAGTTTTACATTGAAATATAAAGGGAAAATCTTCTCAAGAACCACAGGACCAGGAAATCTGAAACTTAAGTGAAAGTATCCTGGGGTAGTGTAGATTTTAAATTGTTTAATTCATAACCCCTGGGGGTAGGCTGGGGCCACAATTAGAAGGGGGAGAATCTGGTGAAGAACAGCATGGCCAATGTGACCAATTCAGGTGAGGGTTGTGGCCCATGGGCTTTTTGTTTTTATTATAACAAAAAAGTACCATGTTGACCCCAGGGGACAACTATTCGATTCTGAGGAAGGGGGCTGGCAGATTTTAGACTTGTGGTGCAAAGTCACTAAACACGTTGAACTTGCATGCAACCATCTGAAGAAATATCGAATTTCCATGTTGTTTTCTGCTGAAATTATAATCGAAGTTACAGGTGAAAAGGAGGATGCTTGATGGATAAAATAATCATCACCCTACCCCTCTCTCCAGATATTAAGTCTCAAAGTGGAAATAACAAAGAAATACAAACTTAATTTTAAAATTAAATGTTTAACGAGATAATTTTACCAGAAATGAAGTTGATTGCAACAAGATAATAATCATAAACGATGTCCCTTTTAACAGTAACATGAGTGAACATATGTGCAGTTTTACATTAATCTGAACATGATCATACACTTTTCAAGAAACTATTTTGATGTCCTTTATGTTGTATAGAAACTTTACTTTTTTTAATAAACGTGTCTTCTAGATTTGTTTAACTCCTTTACAATCTCTTTGGTTGTCTTGTTGGATGGGTGGGACTTAATCATATGACTCAAACCCTCTTCCCGAGTTTTGAGTTGTTTTCCACAATGGCGACAGATCCATGCTTCCGGATTTTTCTTGGACTTGGAAGTAGGCAATAACCATTCATCCAGGTGTGATTTAATTACCCAGTTGACTGTTATTACTGGAGTATATTCTACATGTGCTAAAGATGGAACTTTAAAATCTTTTAAAAGTTCTACTTGATCTTCTTCAAGGTCTGATGAATTGGCAATGTTTTCTTCTTCACTAGAACATGTTATTGTAGAAGTAGATGAATTTTGTATATCTTCGTGTATTTTGGTATTCTCTTCCTCTTTTTTCTCTGACTCTTTTGAAGATAATTTAACCTCTACTGGAATATTATTTGGGGAGGGATCTTTCTGAATTGTCTTTCTCTCACTTTGTTCCACTCCAGTGGCTGATATTTGATGTTGACTGCCTGTTGCCATTGAAACATTATATCCATCAATTTCATCACATTTCCTTTCCATTACAGCCAGAGCTAAGGAAATAATATCCTTTTGCCTGTGTCCTTCTCCTGTAACATGTACCTTCCTGGTCCTTTGTTTCTTTCTTATCCCCAGGTTCCCTTTTTTGTACCTCCTTTTTCTTCTACCCATCTTATTTGTGGTTTGCTTATTCACATTGTCCTTGATGGGTTCCATTTCAAAGGAAATATGGCTGCCATCTTTTTCAGGATTCCTTTCTGATTGGCTACAACTTAAAGCTGCTGTAATGACTGCTTTATTTTCTTCTTTCTCTTTAGTTGGAGGAATCAAATCAAAAGTATCAGTTTTTTCCTCTGCATCATTCTTGCATTGTACTGGATTGTTCACACTTTTTTCAACAACTGGTGTTGCTTTTTCATTTTCCCTTACAACATGATTTTCTCCCATTTCACTACCGGTTGCTTCACTTGTCACGTTTTGAGATTCTACAACATTTTTGTCCATTGATAGCAACTCTTCCTGTTTTGCTGTTAATTTTCTTTTCAAGTTTCTTGCTAAAATTGCACGCCTTTTAAGTTTTTCTAATTTCGAGAGTTTATTCCTTACTGAAATACACTTCTCCGTGGCAGTTTTCCTTTCTTTGCTGGCAGCTTCTTTCATTTTTTGTTTTGCCAGACAATGATGGCGCAGTAGATGCCTTTCTCCCATACAAATTCTGCCACATAGTTCACAAGCCATTCTGTGAGAATAGACATGCTCTCTATGTTCATCCATGGGAACCAGCTTTTCACAAATATCACAAAGCGTCATTTTTACCGCCGTGGCAGAACATCTCTTCTGATGGCTCCCTAAATGGTAAGATGACAAAAAGATTTTACCGCATTTTTCACATTTTATTTCCTTAGGATCATTCTTTTTCTGTTCAGATTTTTCTTCAACTTTTGGTTCCTCAATAATTTCCTCTTTAGGCTCACTTTCTGTCTTTTTATCAGCTCTGTGTTTTCTATGTGTTTTCCTATGTTCCTGATACTCTTCGTGCGACCCACACACCTTGCCACAGATGCATGTCTTATAATACGCTTGTTCCACAATAAGGATAACTTTCTTCTCTTCAGGTAAATTTTTAGCCTTTTCATCATGTTTATAATCCAAAATCTTGTGTGCAATCTTCATGTGTGTTCTTAGTCTAGATTCTGTCATCAGATTATTGCCACAGATTTGACAGACTACATTATGATATTTCAAAGAATGTTCATATTCTTCGTGTGCTGGAATCAGTTTGTTACATTGAAAACAAGTTGCCATTTTGGTTGTCTTTCCACTGCACAGTGAAATATGTGTTTTATACTGATAGTCTTTCATGAAAATTTTGCCGCATTTTTCACACTTGTTCTCTTCAACAGCCTGCCCTTGGATTTTCCTTTTCGCTCTTTTTATTGGTTTTTGTTCAGAAGTGGCTTGCTCATCACTCTTTCTCTTTTTCAGAATAGATTTATCCTCAGGACTTGGTTGAACTGGTCTCTCCTTCTTTTTCTTCACCTGTTCTTTTACAACAGGTACTTGCTGGTGAAAGTGCCTGTTTACGGAATGTTCGGCTTCAAAACTTCTGTGATTCTTGGCATGGTAATACAAAGCCTCATGAGTGGGAAACAACTGATGACAAAACTTACATACAAGCATCACTGAAAGGGTACTCTGTGATCGATGCTCCTGGACAATGATCATGTTTGGTGGGCTGGGTAACACTGAATCCTGAGGGGCATCTTCCTCTGGAGCTATGGCCTGTTTTGAGTTTGGGTCCAACATCCCCATATTTTCTGTGGCATCTTTCATATCATCTTCAAAATCTTGGGCAAGGGTGCAGACATTAACAATCTGAATATTTTCCAGCCCTGAAGGTTCCTCCTTCTCAACCTCAGCATATGACGACCCGCCATCTCCAGGCTCTAAACCAATGAAATTCACCTTACCCGCCATGTCTCTCCCTATCTTTAATGGACTGGACACTTTTGCTGTGTTTGCGACTTGTGGACAGGCATTGTCTTCATTTTTGATGGAGGGATTTGGTTGTGCAGTGCATGGTTGCATAGAATCTGTCTCATCACTGTGGTCTGCTCCCCAAACACGGCTGTTTTCCTCCCCTTCCCCCTCTCCCTCCTCATCGCTGTAGTCAGAGTTGATTTCAATAACAAATTCTTCACCCATTGAGTGGATTGTCTTTGGTATATCATGTTTTGGAATACTTTCTTCATCCATTTTTATGAATCTTCATGCAGCTCTACAAAATAAGAACAAAATATATAGTATTAACAGCATAATTTAAGTTATGACTAATGTATGCACTACCTCGAGATGCATTCATAATGATATTCCAACTCATTGTTCTGCTAATCTCAAGAACTTGTAAAAAAAATTCTAATATATTTAACTCTTTGTAACATTTTTTATCATGATTACAGACTTTTTGATATCATTTATCACAAATTCAAAATTTTAATTTGTTGCAATTAAATTTGTTTAATGAACTTTCAGCTGTAAAATTTGTTAAAAAAAACAAAAACAAAATTAGAGTTGTTTAAATGCTAAATTTTGTAATAAAGAATTAAATTCCTTTTAATTTATCAAATTCATCAATTAGGGTCTATAAAAAAATCTAAATATACATATATATAAATAAATTTTACCAATTCAAAGAAATTCTTATAACAAATTTAAAATCATAACTTTGTGATGAAATAAGATTTTAATATAATATTTTGTGTGAAATGCTGTTTTAAAAAAAAATATACTGAAAGGACAAAGAAACACAGGGTAGCATAATATTTGAAAAAAAAAATTTGACCCCTTTACCAAAAATTACAAAAATTGGTCAGATGAGAAATTTAGGCCATGTCATATTTGAAAGTTTTGGAAAGTTTATTTTATCATTAATGATTGATTAATACCAAAGAGCAGATTTCAAATTCTTAATTTATTTTCAGACTATGTAACCCAACCCCCTGTACCCCGGGGGCCCTGAAATTAATCATTTTGGAAGAGACACCTTTCTTCATCATAAATGTTTACTTAGATCATTGGCATAATACCCAGGAGCAAAGGAACCAGAAGTCTCTGTCGAGACTGTAGCTCTACTGGTTTATACTTAAAACAAAGGAAGAGAAAAGTAGCAGTTGGGACTTGAGACTTTAAATCAGCAATAAATAGAAAAATGGCCATCCTTGCCACTCATCAAAATAAAAACAGATGCACAGAATTATGTATCTTAGTATAGTCTACTTGTGTGTCAAGTTATACTGAAAAGCAAAACTGTAGGAGGAGTAGCATTTTGAAAGAATTTCACAAAAATTTCTATTTTTAGTAACCATGGCAACACCGTTCATCGAAATAAAAAACCAATGCACAGAATTATGTATCTTAGTGTAGTCTAATGTGTGTCAAATTATATTGAAATCAGATCAAAACTGTAGGAGGAGTAGCATTTTGAAAGAATTTCACAAAAATGTCTATTTTTAGTAACCTTGGCAACACCGTTCATCGAAATCAAAAACCGATGCACAGAATTTTTCTTAATGTAGTCTATATGTGCCAAGTTATATTGCCACATCCTAACACCAAATCTATAGGAGGAGTAGCATTTTGAAAGAATTTCACAGAAATTTCTATTTTTAGTAACCATGGCAACACCGTTCATCGAAATCAAAAACCGATGCACAGAATTATGTATCTTAGTGTAGTCTACTTGTGTGCCAAGTTATATTGAAAACCAACACAGGAGTAGCATTTTGAAAAATTGTTTACAGAAAGAATCAACAGACAGACGGACACCCTTGCATAAGCTCTTCTGGTCTCTGACCAGTAGAGCTAAAAAGGAACTATTCAATGTATAATCATTAGATCCTGCCCTAACATCAGAACCCCTTGCCCTGGACCCTAAAATTAAAAAATCTGGAAGGGGCATCCTTCCACATCATAATTATGTACATAGTTCATTTGTTTGATATCCAGGAGCAGAAGAGAAGATTTTTGAAGAATTTATGCATTTTCACTACATAATCAATAGAGTCCCTCCCTAACACCAGTGCCCCTGACCCTGAGGCAATGAAATTTTGGAAGAGTCAGTCTTATTCAACCTAACTATTTACATCGTTAGTTTATTTAATTCCCAGGAGCAGAGAAGAAGATATTTAAAGAATTGATATTTTTTCACTTATTCTTTATAATCAACAGAGCCACACCCTAACACCAAAACCCCAAACTGCCATGGGCCATGAAATTCACAATTTTGGAAATGACATTCTTGTTCATCATAACTATATGCACTTGGTCAGTCTGTTTAATATAAAGAAACATATAGAGAAGATTTTCAAAGAATTTATTAAATCAATAGAGTCTCACTCTTGCACTAGAACCCTTGACCGAGGGGCCATAAAATTCAAAATTTTGGGAGAGGCAGCCTTATATTCAACATAACTATATACACTAGCTTGGTCAGTTATACCAGTCAGGGGTGTGATTGAAATCCATCATTTTTAAAAATGATGATTTTCAGTCATTAAATTGATTTTTAATAATAATGGAAATTCATCTTTTTTTAGTAAAATGATGAAAAACAGTCATTTCTATTTTGAAATTTATTTTAGAAATAGAACTGATATTAAAAATGACTGTTTTTCACATTTTTTATCAAATTGTTAGTACAGTGTACTTTACTGCATTGTTTTACGAAGTACAGTAAATTATTTTGGTTTCAATTACTTGTCAAGATGTTTCTCTACACAAGGGTCTATGGCAGGATAATTTTACTATATCTAATTACATGGGAAAATTGACTTGAGAATGGAAATATGATGAAAAGACGTCATATTTACAAAAATCAGAAAATTGTGTACATTATATACTTAGAAGAAATGACCATTATCCATCATTTTTAAAAATGATGGATTTCAGTCACACCCCTGACTGTATACCCAGGAGCAGAAATTAAAGAAGATTTTCAAAGAAAGGAATATTAATGATGCATTTTCACTATATAATCTATATGTACCCCTGACCCTGGGACCATAAAATTCACAGTTTTAAAAGAGGCAGTCTTATTCAACATAAATTTGTACTTGGATAGTTTATTTAATGCCCAGGAGTAGAAAAAATATTTTCAAAAAAATGAAGCATTTTCACTAAATAATCTATATAGCCCCAGCCCTCCTGACCCTGGGGCCATGAATTTCAGAAATTTGGTAGAGGACTCATTGCTGATGATATTTATGCCAATAGTTTGACTGCTTGATGTCCAGGAGTAAAGAAGAATTTTAAAGATTGCATTAAATTTAGTGGTTTTTGCCCCACCCCTCAGGCCCCCGGGAAGGGGGGCAGGGACCATGAAATTCACAATTATTTTTTCCCTTCACCCATAAATGTTCTATGCCAAAATTGGTTGAAATTGGTTGAGTGGTTACAGAGAAGAAGCTGAAAATGTTTAAATCTTAACAGACGACACAAGAAGATTGTGGAGGAAAACTGACAGTAAATAAATAGGACACCTTAGTTTACTCCGGTGAAGTACAGTGTACTTCACTGCATGTTTGAAGTACAGTGTACTTGACTTCACTGTTGGTAATTCTACCTGTGCATCATTAATTTTACTGAATTAATTCATATAGCAGCAGGAAGAGGACCATTTCAAAAAGAAAAGTTCACAGACAGACAGACAAAGTGGTAATAGGCAGTTTAGGCACCTTTGTAATGACCCAATCAAAAATTTGTTATAAAAGTTTAAGAATGAATTCCATGAAAATATCTTTATTCTTCTAAGACTGTAAAAGTATTTCTATTTTCAGTTATGAAATAAACAACTTGTCCTTTTTTAAAATTAAATTTATGATAAATTATATTCAACTCACACCTGACATATTTTCTATTGGATAACATGTATTCCTTTTATTATTAAATATCAAAAAGTATATCAATAGCCTCATAAAGCATATCAAAGTGTTAATAAAATGTCAAATTTAAATGTTGGACAATATTTTGATCTAAAACTGGTTGCAAGTTTATTTCACTTTTCCAAAGCTTGAATCAAAGATGGCGGATGCATTAGCTGGACATTTTAAAAATACTGCATGATAATAATCGATTATCGCCTTTATGTAGATTAAATTATAATTAACTAAATGATATTTTCATATAAAATAATTTTTTGATTAAAATTATACCTAATTTAAATATGGAGCAGCTTTAACAAGCACGAGGCAAGTGGTTTCTCCAACTTCAAGGCGCACAGGAAAATGGCGGACGATACAGAAAATCCGGCAAGGGATGTAGATAGTCAATAGGGGTGATAAACTAATAAATATGAAAAATATGGCACAAAACATTTTATACATTGTCTTTTTTGCTCTTTTATACCCAAGCAATTTATTTTTATCTAAAATAATTCGAGATGCATACTACATTATGTAAAGTTCGTTTCCCTCGGTTCTAGATTTAGTTTGCGTTAAGCATTTCCGGTATATTTTAGCGCATGATATAAACAAGTAAATTTATTATCTAGTGAGTAAACTGTGTGCATATATATCATGTATTTAAAACACAAACTTCTTGAGAAATTGATATAAATCAAATTATTTCATATTCTAGAACATTTTTTTCGCAGTCATTTGATGCTTTATTTAATTTTTAAAGTACAACTGTAGCTCTGGTATGCAGGTATGTGAAAAAGAACTGAAGAACACAAGTATGCCAGTACCACTGAGTACGACCACATGTTCAAATTGTAATGTGTATTCGAGTTCAAAGAGAAATTCAAAGAGAAGATGAATGCATAGTTATATGCTATAAAAGGAGCATGAAGCACTCAATATGGTAAGTAAAAATATTGCAAGCCGAAGAATGGGAATGGGGTATGTACAGATTCTAACTCATATTGTCCTTTGGCTTGCAATAAGTTCCTGAAAGATTTTGTTACTGAAAGTGTAGCTGCAGAACTGTAGCTCTCCGATAAAATAATTATTGACCATGTTGACAGACTGGAGAGCTACAATGCCACCCACTGAAAAAGCTGTATATTGATAAAGCACATTAAAAAAAGGTTCAGGATTAATTCTATCAAATTTTTACCTCAATTGCAAAAAATCTAGATTCAAAAAATTCCTTACTCCTCTATCAAGGTAACTCTCGTGGTTTACATCTTTACGAGCTGGTTTGACCAAATTATCTTGTAAACCAAAATGGCAGTATAAATGGGCGAAATTTTTGATGATCTCAATTTCAGGGCTAGGAGGGCTATAAAAACAATTATAAAATTATAATTATGTGGAAACAGTGAAAGAATATGTTAGGAACATACGGTTAGTAATATTTTGAGATGAAAGTTTTAAACACATGGAAAAATACATTGAGAAACAGCGCACTTTTTTGTGCGCAATAAATATACAGTTTATAAATGGGTGGCACTGTAGCTCTCCGGTCTGTCAGTATAATTTTTTCGGAGAGCTACAGTTCTGCAGCTGCTGAAAGTGGAAAGTATTTTCTGCTAATATATAAATTCATTTATGGTGTTTAATAGTAAATATTTACAAATACAGAAGCTTCTTCAAGTGTTCATTGGTGCTGTGGTGCATTTATTTTTACCCTTTCAACACTAAAAATATCTAATCACTGTATGGCATCTTATACGTGTTATACCTGAATCTCTTTAAAATTTCCCCTGAAAATTTTTATGCAAATTAAACATGGGACAAAAATTCAGTCTCATTCCAACTTGAATAGTTACATTAAAACTGCAAATGAGAAAACTATCAGATTACTTAATTATTTGCATGTCTTTTCCACACCATAACATCATTCTACTGGTATTTTTTTTTAAAAATCAACAAGCGACAAAATTTAAGTCATTAATTTTATGGATCATTGGATCAATATGGAATTAAGCAAAATGGCCAAATGTATTCAGAAAACAAAAATTGAGCTTGGTGGGTTTTTGATATAATGTTAAAACAAGTATTACATTTTTCAAAAGATGAAATATTGGGGTTAGTTCTTCACATTATATTTGCTTTGATGGAACTGATTCATAACAGTTAACTTTTATATTAAATTCAGGACAAGCTGATTCAGGACAAGCCAAAATTATTTCAGGAATCACTGTCTAGTTAGTATGGTATGCCAGGGCATCAACGATAGTGGGAAACATGGGGTTATTTGCATAATGGACAAAGCCCGTTATGCATAAATTATCCCATGTTTGCCACTATCGTTGATGTCCCTGGCATACTATATACCTTATGATTCCTTATATTTCCATTTCATTGTGAAATAAAATTGTAAATTTAGACTTTTCAAATGTTGACTACCGTATATACTCGCCTATAAGTCGGTATTTTGGGAGTTAAATTTTAATTCAAAAGTCTATGTCCGACTTATAGGCGAGTCATAAAAAGACAGGAATTTTTCTGGATGGCAAATCATAGTATTCTATAAACATTTTCAACAGCTATCATTGAACAAAGTATGGATACATCATATCATTTATGTATTATAAGATTATACATAAGATACATTTTTAATCTTAAAAGGGCAGTATTTATTTTCTATGATTTAAATTTAAATAACGACTTCATTTCTTAAAAAAATAATTAAAAATTAGGGTAAAACATCATAGCATTTATTAGAAATTGTCATCTGATTCTGGCGAAAAATTGTACCGACTTATAAGCGGGTCAATGGCAAATCCCTGCCAAATAACCTTAAAAAATACAATCGACTTATAGGCGGACCGACTTATAGGCGAGTGTATACGGTAATAGATTAAAATTAAAAGGACTCCCATGCCAATTTTAATAGTCCTTGCCCAGTGATGTCAAACACAAAGGCAGCCGCACGTGATTTACATGCATATTTGGCCTCCTTAGAGTCAGACACGGAGACAGATGCGCACTAGAATTGCATATTAGGCCTCCTTAGCTCTTGACCTATCGGCCTGCTTAATTAACATTCCGGTAGAATTGTCAAGAAATCAACTCCGCTAACTTTTTAAAGAGTTATATCTATTAAAAATATTAGAAATGGAAATATTATATTTTACTGCACAAATAATTGTTTAATACTTACTAGATAGTAGAAATTTTATCAAAAATCTTTCAACTAAAAATATATTTTTTGTTTTACTGCAGCAGCTTTTTAATTAGTATAGAATTCATTGATTGTATTTAATTTGAAAAAACAAAATTCAAAGGCATTAAATCAAAATTTATTGTAAGAACTAAATCATGATGAAGATTTATTGAAATAGAATCACGTGCTTGCAGACAAACATGTACTAAAAGCTAAGGATTGAACCTCTGTTATTTATAATTCTGTAATATTGTAGTATGGTGTCCGATTTCTTTTATCCCAACATGGGAGGTGTGGAGAGCCACATCTATCAGCTGTCCCAGTGTTTGCTTGAGAGAGGCCACAAAGTGGTGGTAGTTACTCATGCTTATGGAGAAAAGAAAGGAGTAAGATACCTTAGCAATGGTCTAAAGGTAAATATAAAGTCATACAAATATGTTCACCCACACATTAGTTATAGGAATGTTGATGTTCTTGATCAGTATCTTACTATAATACAAGTATTCATGCACAGTTCTTTTGAATACTTTATACCTAGTCACTGTCAGACAGATTAAAACATCTACTGTTTCTTTTAAGCTCAAGTGAGGTTTTCTGAAATTTGTTCAAAATTTGTTCATGTTCTGTTGTAAACTTTTACAGTTTTATTTTCTTCTACAAAACCACTGGGCCAACTTCAACAAAACTTGGCACAGAATATCATTGGATAAAAATGATCCAAATTAATTCAAAGGGGATATAAAGAGCCCATTTACTGCTTTGGTTCCTTGTCATAAAAGGGGAATTACTAGTTAAACAAGATACACTGTAACATAACGATAAAAAATTTTGGGTAAAGTCATATTTTGCAATTTTTGGAAAAATCATTTTTAAAAAAGGTCTTCTTTTCTTGGCTAGAAATGATGAAATTTATTTGAAAGCTTCCTGACATAGTGTAAATTGAAGTTTGTTATAATCACCTTAACTGATTTTGCTAAGGCAAAAGATGTAAAGTATATATTAAGCTTTTTTTGTACTTTGCAAAATGGATATAAAGGGACACAACTCTTATTTGTTTACATATCATTTATTGAATTAGTTAGATGTATGGCTATTTTTGCAAAAATCATCTTCCAAAAAGTATTGTTTTCAAACTGAACTTTCATCTCAGCCAGGTAGATAATATTTCTTTAAAAAATAATCTAAGGTAGCTTTTTGTGGTGGTCAGGAGGCAGGTACATGTAGCTTATGTGGTAGGTCATATTCAGGAGATCAAGTCACAGGCCATTAGATCGCTTAGAAAAAAAAAATTGAGATGGTATCATACACATACAATTTAAAGTCTGAAATTGGTCTTTGACATATGATAAAATCCACTTGTGATTTTATTTTTTCATGATATATATCAGATTATAATACATATGTTCAGTGTGCTCTTCTTTTTCTTGATATAGGCTTATTATCTCCCTTTTATTCCATTTTACAACCAATGCATCCTGCCAACCATTTTCACCACCTTTCCTCTACTGAGAAACATATTTATCAGAGAGCAAATAACCATTGTACATGGACACTCGGTGGGTATATTATTATAATATGTAATATTGTCAAGTACAATGTAATAAATTATCGATAAAAATTCTTCATATCAACTCACATGTTATTCTTTAGTAATATTACAGACATGTTTTTATGATCTTTACAGAAAATTGCTTTTAACATGTTTAATTATATATTAAAATTTTAGATTTCTATAATTCTAAGAAAAATTACATTAAGAAAGCTCTTATAAAAATTTCTTTGGGAATTTCCTATTTTTGAATTTATGTTTCAATTAATAATTGCAGGCCTTTTCAACGTTAGCCCACGAGGCCATGTTTCACGCTCGTACAATGGGCCTGAGGACAGTGTTCACCGATCACTCCCTGTTTGGATTTGCTGATGCCAGCTCCATTCTGACCAACAAGGTCCTACAGTTCTCCTTGGCTGATACCAATCACGTCATCTGTGTATCTCACACTAGGTGGGGGAAATTTGAAAATGTATTAAAATCTGCTAAACTTGAAACATGAACAAAGCTGAAATTTGATTGCAATGAAAATGTATTAATTAAGATGTTCTAATGGAAATGATAGAAAGTTATAGAGATATCTGGTTCCAAATAGTATTAGAATGCAGAAATTAATTTTAATAATACTCAGGCCACTCAACATGGTCACCTAATTCTGTACTTTCATATTTCTTGTTAAGAGATAAGTTTTGTTGGGAATGAGTTTTCAATGCAGGTGAGAATACAAAGTACAGCAAGATCAAAAATGAACTACAATTAGTCATTACAATTTTGGATGGATTGGCAACAATGGAGGTCAATGAGATGGACAAAAATGACTTGATAATACTTAATATAAAAAAAAATTTTTGTATACTGTGAAATCAAAAATTTTCATGGGGGTTTAATTTTTGTTGTTTTCAAGGTATGAAGAGACCCATGAATTCATGTCCACCACGAAATGTAAAATGTTACATACCTAACTACTCCACAATACTTAACACTCATACCCCCCCCCCCAAAAAAAAAATATATAATTTTACAGTATGCAGTTATGTATAGAACTTTAAAACAAGCTGCAAATGTCTTTTTTAGCAAAGAAAACACAGTGTTGAGAGCCCGGATTAAGCCACAGATGGTGTCTGTTATACCTAATGCTGTAGATGGGACAATGTTTACTCCAGATCCAACCAAAAGACAGAAAAATAAAAGTAGGTAAGCATGCTTCATATTAGGAATGATAAAAAGAAAATATTAGAATTATAATATATACAAAAAATATGTTTAAGATTGCATCTGATTAGAACATTATGTTTATTATGCATATATTTCATTTTTTGGCATATACTGTTTCTCTATTATAAAATTAATTTCAAAATCATTTTAGAATTTACATTTAAAAAGATAATTAGAGATGGCCCCGTTGAAAAACAATTGCTGTGTACATGTCTGAAAGATTTTGTGAATATCAGGAAACAGTTTAGTTTTATGCATAACTTACAATAGAAATAAAAGATGAAAAAATATTATTCTTGTGAATAAATACAGCTTGCAAAATATATTACAAAATACATGTTTTTATTAGTGCTTTATTAGTTCATTTTCTGGATTAGTGGAAAGGTTGTACAGGTTTCATTTCCAGTAACACCATTGTAATGGTGCACACTAATGGAGTCAGACTGGACACATATTTTCAGATAATACGTAAAAGTTAGGAAGGTCTATGAAACTTTAAGACTTATATAAACCAAACTTGCACCTGCTGGCATGATGAAGTACGTCATCCAAAGTATCAAATCAAAACATAAATTTTGCATTTGCTCTGTTGGTTAATTGTGTCATCCAGATGTACAGTTCATCATAGGTAATGGCACACAAATACCTAATATCACTAAATTTTCATGGCCATATGATAGACATACATTAACTAATAGACATGCATGTATTAGCGGGGCAAAATTTTGAAGAATTGTTGTTTCTGCTCTTCATAATCTTTAGAAACACTTATATATGGGAGAATGATATTTTCATGAGCAAGCTGTCTCGCTTAGTTACCCTAAAATAAAGTTCTCATGAATAAAAAGTGATATACAGTATACAAAATCTTTTTGATCAACCATCAAACATTGTGTATTTTAAATTGCTTGTTTTCCCTGTTTATTCTCGTCCCTTTATTAATAAGGTGGGGAGGGACCAAAGAGGATAGTACTGGAGGAGATGAGAGAGAGCCATGACCTCCATGACAGAGTCCAGCTTCTGGGGGCTGTGAACCACAAGGATGTCAGAGATGTTAGTAGTAAAGTCTTAGTTCTGTACTCTGTAAAAATATCAAAGTCTTAGTTCTGTACTTTGTAAAAATTCAGAGATGTCTCTACATTTTTCGTCATAAATCAGCGCTTCCTCTCTTTCGAGTTATTCACTTGGTATAGAGGATGTTTTGGGTTTACTGCATGTTTTATATGGCAAGTTCAAATCAACAGACATTTGAAAGGCGTTATTCAATCATTTTTGAAGCTAGATCTCACCCGACACAGGTAGGAAATGTTGTAGAAATTGATTTAAATCAAGTGTGAACCGAGGCACCCCCAGAAATCCAAGATGGCGAGTGGTGCGCTCCTTAATTTACTCCCTTTTTATACAGTAAATATGACATTTTTAAAACGTGTTAATTTCAGCGAATTTTGATTTTTATTTGAATGAGGGTATTCAGACACACCTAGACACATCCTGAAACCAAGCGCCTATGCTCAAGAACAGTATACATGTATACCCATGATAAGTCATATAAAAAATGAAGCATCCTTAGTTTAGATTTCACTTTGTTCAAATAACCGTCAGTGGTACGATGAAGCTGTATTAAGCAATGAAAGTTTTATATAGATAGCAAAGCCAAGATTACATGTAGTTGTAATAATTTATAAGCAAGTTTGTTCAAATCATCAACTTAAGGGATAGGGTTGGACCTGGCACTTACATATTAAAACTTTTCAATACCTATCTGATTTCTACTTTTCTCTAATCAAAGTAATCTGATTTAAATCAGGTGAGAGATATGGCATATGGAATTTTCGTTTTTAACCTTTTTATACAATGTACAATATTTCTTCCTGTTTCTGTCAATCTGATAGAGAAATTTTCTAAAGAGTCTGCATGATTCATTAACTTGAATTTATTTTACAGTCCTCAAAATGACAACAAATATCTGTTATTATGCATATAGAAATATTCTATTTTTTTAAATGTACAGTGTATAGAATCTTAATAAATTAGTTAAATGATACGTGGACATGGATTAACTTAACCAACTTTAAAATGTTTTGTGCTTGCTAAAATTTTATTCAAATTTGTCCAAGTATAAGTCTGATATATTTATGAAAACTTATCTACATAATATTTGTGCATCCAAGTATGCAAAAAGCATCATTATTTTAGTTTGTTAAAAAAGAATAATAATAGAAGTAATTAATATAGCTACTGGGTTAAATGACTAATTATGAAAGAATTAGAGGCATGTAGGTATTTGACTGATTATGGACATCTATATGTGTACATAAAGTATATGAAGGGTATAAATTTTACAAATAATTGTATAGCATATGGTTCACTTAAATAGAAGTTCAGTCAGTTTGTTCAACAACACTGTCAAAAATGTCATTAGAAAGTCAAATAACAAGTCCACCATGAATCATGTTATGAAAATTGCAGATTGTTGTGGAAATAATTTTAATGAGCATTATTATCTGGCATTCTTTTGAATATCTCATTGTCTCTGGAAAACTCAGTAGAAAGAACATTGCACAGAAAAGTTTTTGCTCAATGAAGTTTTTTGAGGGGGGAAAAAATGAAGTTTATGCTAATTGATAGTTTATCATACAATGCCAACTTTGAGAAAAATCCTTATTTAGGATGAATTAGAAAGAGTTACATATATCTTTCTTGTCCAGAATGTTTCACCTCTTTTTGGTTTGATTTTTTATGACACACAGTGTTGGTCTTTTCCATGTTTGTCTAGATTTCTATGTAACCATCCATTTTTGTGTTAAGCAGTTGCATTTTTTCCATCCCAGACCTCTCCAATCCTTTACAACAGAGTTTTGAAGCCTAGACCTTCTTTATGATATTTCTTGATACTAGTATTTAATGGTTTGACTACAGCTCATTTTGCATTATATTAAATTGTTAAGAATTGCATCACAGAATTTTGAATGAACATCTGTAAAAGAGCACTGCACTCCACCCATAGTTTGATAATATGATCTTCTACACTGATTTTATACTTAGCTCATGTTTACATGAATATACATGTATCATTTAACTTTCTTCACACAGAAATATTGAAAGATTTTGCCTCCTTGGAGGGGGATGTAAACTTAATCCACTTTCATTGACTATGGCCTCACATTTTGAAAATTGTTCTATTATATTCTAAAAATTATATATATAAAAAAAATTTTTAAAAAGTGTTATTTGGTGTTTTGAAATGTGCTTATGATTTGTCATTTTCTTTCTGTCAAGATCACAGTGACTTTTCCATTTTGATTTTAAATGTATATGATACAGTTTCATTAATTTTTTCTTTCAAAATGGCATTTAAAAAAAATGGATATGTACATACATAGCAGGTATGGTTTAGGTAGTTTAACGAGATTTTTTACTATTCAGGTGCTTGTACAGGGAGACATATTAATCAACACCTCCCTGACGGAGGCGTTCTGCATCGCCATAGTGGAAGCTGCCTGCTGTGGGTCAGTATGTTAAACAAAATCACACTGTAACAATTGATTACCAGTCAAAATAATCAAATACTGCTCACTAATTGCAGCACAATGCATTTTTGACATTTAAAATCTGTCAGACTTTGACAGCATATGGACTGCTTAGTTTTGGATAGTGTGTCAATTTGTTATGTAACACTGGACTGTGAACATTGAGGAAGATAAAATCCGATGTAGACCAGGTGTTCCCTGGTTTTCCACAATCAGAACCTGGAATTTCCAATTTGTATACCCCCATAATCAAGAATTGGGGGTATATATATAGTTTTGTCCATCTGTCTGTCTGCAAAAACTTCAACCTTGCTCATAACTTTTGAGTGGGTGAGACTATGGCTTTTATATTTTGCAGTAGTATTCCTAAAGACAAGACTTTTCTTAGAGTACCACCAAATTTGACCTCTGACGTTGGAGTTTAAACCAATTTTATGAAAAAAATGTCAAACCTTTAATTAACTATTGCTCATAACGTTAGTTTCAGGCAAAGGTTATAAATTCTTGTATAAAATGATTTCTAGATTCACTTCAATACTGTCACAAGTAAAACACGGTATATATTGATTTGATGTGAAATTGTCAAAAACAAAGAGCAAAACCTTTTTTATTGGTACATTGTCAATGTTTTTTGCACAATATTTTAAATAATGAAGATAAATTACAATTCTTTTTCCAGGCATGCAATAATTCCTTTAATTTGGGGTAGGGTAGGAGGATGTCATTTAGATTAATTTTTAATAAATGAGCAACTTATGTGATTACAGTTGAGTTTTTCAGATATGTATAACTTATCTGTATGTCTCACTGTCTTAGGTTATCAGTAGTCAGTACGAGGGTTGGTGGTGCACCAGAAGTTCTGCCCCCTGATCTTATATATTTTGCTGAACCTAGTGTCAAAGGTGTGTGAATAACATAAGCATGTGCATAATGTAGTATACATGTACTACTATACTTGTACTGTATATCCAGGTATATTCTCTATTATGATAATTTCAACCAACACGTGATCAGGAACATGACATTGTATCTTGATGAATGACTTCCAGCATTATATGCAAATGCTGGTAGCATTTTTATTCCCCTTCATGATATTTTTACTAAAACTCAGACAATATGATACATATTGGTTATATAAAATTAAAATTGTGTCAAAATTTTATGACCTTGACCTTTCCCATTAACATTGACCTCTCTGTTCCTCAATTAGCATTTTGCATACATGTAGTTTCATAAAAAATGTTCTGTTATTTTTAACAGAATTTTCTGACCTTCATCTTTCCCATAACCTTGATCTCGCTATTCCTCAATTTGCACTTAGCTCAGTTTCAAAATAAAAATTGTAGACATTTCAATAACATAAGTTAAATACAGCTTCATAATGGAAATTTCTTTTTATTTTTTTGAAGATTTTGTACAAACTTTGCACAAAGCAATTGAGGACAGAAGAAAGGGAAAGTTTGTGCCACCTTTTGAGGCTCATGAGAGCATTAAAAAGATTTACACATGGAGGAACGTGGCCAAGCGGACAGAGGTTGTGTACAAGCATGTTATGGAGGAAGTTCCTAATGATTCAGGAGACAGGCTTATAAGGTGTTGATACAGTGGCTGGAACGTTATTGTTGACAACTTACACGAACGATCACGTTACACGAACGATCCGACGATTAACGCTCGATTAAACCTGTTACACGAACGATCTTTCACGTTCACGATTCTATACGTTACACGATCTTACACGATTTTTATGTCCCTTCACGATTTTCACTCAAAATAGTTCAAAATATTTAGGAATTCAATATTTTCAAAACGAAATACGGCTTAATAATTATTTAAGATTTCAAAGAATTATCAAAATTTTTTCATAGACTTTGAAGAAAAAACGGAAAATGATATTTCTGTAACTAAATATATGCAAGACTCAATATTTTAGATTAAAAATAGTTATTTCTAAGGTAATTCTCTGATTAAAAAAAAAACGGATTTTGTTCGTTCTATTAGACGATGTACATGTATGTGGGTCGTATAATTTGATTGAATTGGTTATCCTGATATGCAGAAAGGGGGATACGATTGAACAAAAATGGCAGCATGGAATGACTTAAATTATAATTACAAATTTATATCCAAATGTTTCCAATGATTCAATGTCTGATAAACTTGCCAATTATTCAACTTTTTTAGGGTTTGCAGAAATTTAAAATTAATTAATTACAAATAGACTCAAGAGATAAACACAGATCAACAAAATGAAAATCATGACTTGTCCATGTATATTTGTCGACTAACTAGTTATGTAAGCATTGTGAAATGTTTATTTCTTTGTAAAAATAAATATATATATTTATTTTTCAATTGAATTGATTTCAAGATTATCTTGACCACAATAAACCTTAATAAATAAAAATCAGATTTTGCACTTAGCTCAGTTTCAAACGGTTTATAAAAATTGATCGCGCTATTTCAATAACTTAATATTGTACGATTACTATATTGCTTGTTTACGGGCGAAATTTCTTTTTATTTTTTGTAAATTTTGCTTTTTCAAACTTTGGACAAATAAATTGAGGAAACAAACATGGTAAATGCTTACCTTTTAAGGCTCATAAAGAACTTACAAAAGAAATTTACACGATTCTACACGCACGATCTCGCACGATTAAAAACGCACAGAGGTTGTGTACAGGCACGTTTCACGAACGATCACTCACGATACACGAACGATTCTACACGATTGGTTTATAAGGTGTTGATATATTGAAATTCTGAAATTAATTGGGACATGTTTTCTGAATTTTAAAGTGGGTCCAAGTCTCAAGGCATTTAGTTGCATCTTCATCTTTTTAGCTTGCCTGAGCTGAAAGCTCAAGTGAGCTTCCCTGATCACCTTTTGTCTGTCCGTCTTTTGTTTGTCAGTCTGTAAACTTTTCACATATTCAACTTCTGAAGATTGATCCACTGGACCAATTTTAACCAATGTTGTTACAAAGCATCCGTGGGCAAAAGGGGAGTTAAAATTGTTAAAAGAAAGGACTAGGCACCCTTACATGGGGAGATAAGCTCATGTGAGCTAAAACAGCTTCTATAGCTTTTATGGCTGTTTGTACACATGTACGAGAGTAAAAGGTCAAGATGATTGATAAAAGCACATTGTGGGTCCTCATATATTTTTTTCAGTTCATTAGTTTCTGTAACAACAATTTTCTGTTGGTTTTTATCACATTTTGCTGTACATGTATATAAATTGTTTTAAATAAGAATCTCATTTCTTGTTGTATTGAAGCTTCTACAAATGTGGTCCATTGTCAGGGAAGCTGTTTGTTATAGCTGCAGTTCTCAACATGTTCTTACTGTGGATACTGGAGACTCTCTGGCAGCCAGCAAAGGTACCACTTAACTGTTAAAAAGGCATCTGTTGTATTCTGCAAGAAGAAAAATGAAATTATTTTCAGCTTTTCTATCTGCACCAACACTGCAAAACTGCCCATAGTTGATTTCATTTTTCAAGGCCTTCTCTAAGAATTCTATTGTGACATAAATACTGGTAGTTATCCTTTAACATTGATATAATAGGAAATCAGTTATTGATGTCTTGAGATAAAAGTTGACTTTTTCTCCTACAGGATATAGAGTATGCTGTGGAATTGACACCTTTACAGAATTTCAGACAAAGGAGTCAAAGTATGGAAAGTATAGACAGCAGTGCAATAAAAAGTAAACTGTCTGCAAAGAGGACTTGAACTAGTGCAATTTTTTATGTTATCTATAATTTATTTGAACTGTTACAGTTGTACATACATGTAAATGTTGATACAACATGTACTATGTACAAAGTTTTTAAATAGAATAAAGGATGATGTGACATAACTGCTATCTGGGGCCCCTTTTTGCACGATGAATTATATTTAATCTACAACGATGTTGGTAGTTTTCAAACACGAGTGAATAAATACGACCCTTTTTAATACTTTCAATAGTTCAGACATATTTTTTGATTATAAGGAATACTGCATTATCTTTCATTTTTTAGACCCTATCACAGCTAAATTCGGCCAGGTTTGTGAGAATATGTTCTTTTATGGAAAGAGAATGGGCGGGTCTTAGTACAATATAGGGATGTGCGTGTCCGAGAGGACCTTATATGGCTATTGTTATTATTTCGCAAAGAGTCATTGTCCAATCCGATGACAGAACATATGAACAAAACATGCTGGTTTACTACGTTTACATTTTATCTCAGACATGTGGTTTAGGTCAATTTACGTGTTATCCTTTTCTACATTTCAAATTTGTAATGGTCAGCCAAGGCTGTTTATACTTAAGGGACTCCGATCCTCAGCCAGGAAGGACAACTCTTTAATTTATAATTTATTTCAAAAAGTCTCAAAATGAAGCTTACAAATTAATTTTTTTCATGCAACAATTTTCATTATATACCTCTCAATGTGCAGTGCTTCAAGGTTCTTTGATGTTCTCAGTAAGGCCTAATAAAAAGTCGAAATTTTTACCCCGTAAAAGCATTTTAAAATTACATATATCAGGAAATTGATGTTTAATTTAATCTAACCATAGATGCTAATGTTTATTAACATGACATAAAATTAGAAGTGTTTTATGGTGCTTTGCAATGACAGGAGAATCTTTATACGCTTTGCATTGTAAAATGATGGAAGTAAATAAAAGAAATTTAAGTACATTATATTATGAAAACTGTGGAATTTCTTCAGAAGCCTGGATACCTATGATTTTTATTTTTAAAATGTGTTAATTGATCAAAATTGAATTAGAAAATGCATAACAGGTGTTTTTATTCGCAATTTCTGAAAATATATTTGAGATTTACTAATTTTCTCTATATAATATGATTAACTTGAAGGATGAAGTTTGAAGCATTATTTGGGTAAAAACGTGTTACTTTGAAAATTCAGAGACATTTTTGTGAGCATTTTCAATTAGTCAATGCTTGAATTTCAGAACATGAGGATCAGAGTACCTTAATAATACGCATAGATTTTCAGCATTTACGGTTTTAGGACAAGAAATGCACATGAAACTTGTATTCACTGATGCTCGGGAATTCGTGTAGACCTGGCGAATTGCTCACCAACACGCTAAAAAACTTGAAACATGTATATTTATCAATTGTTTGTAACTGTATATAAATTTTACTGTGATTTCGGAAATTGTACATATGTAGATCCGTGTCTAATCTGTGACTCAAAATGCATAAAAAATATCGGAAAGCAGTGAAATTCCAAGCATGTTTCTATAGTATTTTTGTGGTACTCACTCGTACCGAATTTCATTAAACTGATTGGTCAGTTAGAAAGTATCGCCAGTGCCTCGATTAGCATATGAATTCATTCTTACGTCAGAAAATCTAGTTCCGGCGATCTGTTCATAATGGGAAAGGCCAGCTAGATTTTAATTTCTTAAAAAATACCATGTGAGCACAGTTAGGTACAATTTTCTCCTTTCACATATAAGTAGATTTTAATAAAATACAGTGACTAGCCAAAGGAGAAAATTGTACCTACCTGCGCTCGTAGATTTTAAGGGCTTCAAAGAGTGGGGCGAGGTTAAAATGCAATGGGAATTGGATGTAAACATGATACCCCTACCGCAATAAAAGATCTATATCTTTCAAATCACGTTTCTATTTTTGTTAAGAATAGTACTGTAAATGATTTTTTATTCGCGAGAACTTTATTTTCGAGTAATTACGCGAGACGGTATGCTCGCGAAAATTTAATTCTCGCGTATAAAAGAATTCCTTAAGATTATATAGAGCAATGAAGTTGAATGAACACAATTCGTGAAAATTTTGTCTCGTTGATAAAGAGTCAATGACTATCTCGCGAAAATAAAGTGTCGCGAAAATTAAGTGATCTACAGTATTCTATAAAGGTACACATATCAGTGATTAGTTACATACAATAATTTGAATTAAATTTAGACATTTAATTTTTTGTCAATTTACCGGGGGCCGCAAGTCACCTAATCCTTTATATTGAATTCTCTCATATTTGTGCTTTATACCTAAAACTTCCCTTCTCCTTTCCAAATAAGGGTCTTGTTTCACTCTAACTTCAACATACATGTACATATAGGTGTGAGAGTACAAATCATAGAGTTAAGATAACTTAGATAACAATAGAAAAAAAATGTTATTTTTGGCTTGAAGAGCTACAGGCTTCACAAAATTGTACATGAATCCAAAAAATAATGTTAAGTTTTCTTTTTCATTCACTTAAAAAAAGCTTTTCTCGATGTCAATCCATTTTAAAGTACTGGGTTGGTATAGGAGGCAAACCATTTTTTTTTCTGCAAAGGGTGGTCTGATATATATGTGACATGAAGCAAGTATCAGTGTTGAGACGTAGAGTTTAACGCCTTTATTATTATAATTTATTCTATATGTCTGTTTTTGATTTCGATCACTTAGTACTAGTAACTATTTCTATAAGGGCTAAGTTACTGACAAACAAGTTGATGAAACAAGAATATTAGCAGTCTCATTATCATTCAGTCAAATGCTGACTGATGTTTTTCATACTAATTGTTAGACCATTATTTACACACTGAATTGTCGAAGGATTTCTCCGTTATTTATCGATCATGACTAGGAGCACACAGTGGATGTGACTGGTCAGCAGGGGATGCTCTCTCCTGTATGGAACCAGATCCCACCTCTGATACTTTGGAGGTCCGCAATTGCTCTGCTCCAATTGTATTGTTTAAAGGACTTAAAATTGAGCTTGAATACTGTTCGTTATCTCTATATACAGTGTATTTCATTCCTATATAGTTACTAAATATAGAAATTTAATATGTGAAATACTTTAAAACGCTATTCCTCCTACAGTTTTCATCTGGTTTTTATGCACTCGGATCAATAGATACGGGGCGTATATTGTTAGCTCACCTGAGTCGAAGGCTCAAGTGAGCTTTACTGATCACATTTTGTCCGGCGTCCGTCCGTCCGTCTGTCTAGCTGTCCGTCTAGCTGTCTGTCCGTCTGTCTGTAAACTTTTCACATTTTCGACTTCTTCTCAAGAACCGCTGGGCCAATTTCAACCAAACTTGCCACAAAGCATCCTTGGGTGAAGGGGATTCAAGTTTGTTCAAATGAAGGGCCACGCCCTCATTCAAGGGGAGATAATTGGGAATTAATGAAAATTTGGTGGTATGTTTTAAAAATCTTCTTCTCAAGAACCACTGTGCCAGGAAAAATGAAACTTATGAAACATCCTCTGGTAGTGTAGATTCAAGTTTTTTCAAATCAATACCCCCGGGGGTAGGGCGGGGCGACAATGGCCGACCAAAGTTTTACATAGAAATATATAGGAAAATTCTTTAAAAATCATCTTCTCAAAAATACCAAAGCCATAATTGATCATATTTATATGGAAGCATCCTCAGGTAGTGTCGATTCAAATTTGTTCAAATCATGACCCCCGGGGGTAGGGCGGGACCACAATGGCCGACCAAAGTTTTACATAGAAATATATAGGAAAATTCTTTAAAAATCATCTTCTCAAGAATAGCAAAACCATAACTGGTCAAAGGTTTACTTTTGGATTTAAACTTTTCAATAATAAACCAATTTCTACTTTTTTCCTAGCCACAGTGCTCAGGTGAGCGATGTGGCCCATGGGCCTCTTGTTTTTGTCCTGATTGGAGCAGCCAGACAATTTTTAAAAATAAACAAACAATGGATAATCATAATAATACATGTATTAAAACATCCCAAGATAGACGATAATTTCTGTAAATCATGACACCCCCCCCCCCCCTCTTTCGCAGAATAGATGGACCATAACAGGGAATCATAGTTATACAAAGAATTGAACGGAATGTATCGAAAAAAAATCTTACGAACAATAAAGCCATTATGCGTCATATTAATTCATATGAATCCTTAGGAAGTTAGTCCAAATCATACCCTCCCTCCAAAAAAGCTGATGTGAACCATGCAAAATAGTCAGTTTACATATGCATGTATTTTCGAATTCATGAGTGACTGTTCGGTAACTGTAACATTAATCAAGCACCATTTTCAAGTAAAATATTACTGAATGAAAGAACTTTATTCGGTAATAACCAATATTTGTCCCCCCCCCCCCCCCAATCAAACTTTGACGGAGAAATATTAACTATGCTTTAAAACGGGGGGATGTGTGCTGACTTCAAAGCACTGAATATTTTCATAAGCAATGACGTCATATGTTTGAAATGACGTCACGAAAATGATGTATATTTAAAATATCAGTGATTTCTACAGAAAAATGTATATATTACGTCGATATTTTGAGTAAAATTCACCGAGCGCAGGTCTGATCAGGCTCAATATTTTGATATAATGTGTAGAATGATAATATCAATTAAATATGTAAATATTGTTCCTGAGCAAACTTGCGCTCTATAAGTTTTAAAGGCTAAAATTGTTGAAAGAACTATATGCGGTATATTGCATATATTTGCCCCCACAAAAGTCAAATTTTGAAAACTTCCTGAAATGTGATGAACTCAATAAATTGTATGAGAAATATAAATTAACAGAAAATATAATAGTTTCTAAGAAGTGTATTCACAATTTTTTGTCTTTATGACGTCACAAACTAGTCCGATTTTATATCTTTTTTCAGAAAGAGGACAAATTGGACAAAATTTCAACAATTTTAGCTTTAAAATTTATAGAGCGCAAGTTTGTTCAGGAACAATATTGACATATTTCATTGATATTATCATTCTACACAATTCATTATATCAAAATATTGATCCTGAACACACATGCGCTCGGTGATTTTTACTCAAAATATCGACGAAATATGTACATTTTTCTGTAAAATTCATAGAAAACTGAAATTACGTCATGTTTGTGACGTCATTACGTACATATGACGTCATTACTTATGAAAATATTCAGTTCGTTGAAGTCAGCATATACTCCCCTGTTTAAGAACTTAATTAAATATATCTCCATCAAAGTTTGATTTGGGGGGCAAATATTGGTTATTACCGAATAAAGTTCTTTTGTCCATTTTGTCCTCTTTCTAAAAAATGATATAAAATCGGACTAGTTTGTGACGTCATAAAAACAAAAATTGTCAAAAAACTACTTTGAAACTATAATATGTTTTGGTAATTCATATTTCTTATACAATTTATAGCACATTCCAAGAATTTTTCAAAATTCGATTTTTGTAGGGGCAAAGATATGCAGTATACCGCATATAGTTCTTTAAAATACATGTTTATAATTGACATCAATTGAAATAAATTAAAATATATCTCAAATTACTTTTTTTCACCTTTATTAAAATAAAAATTCACTGCATTGTGTTTTCTGTGTAGGGATTACAATGTAATTACACTAAGAATATATGGACAGTGTACCATATATATCAGCCATCAGTGCATTTTCACCAATTTGTGAATGCAGCATATGCACCGTTTTTCACGGCCTATACCGATGAGAATTTGTCAAATGCATACCATCGGAAAATTTGTGTTACAGTGTAGTATCAGCGAAAACCGAACGGTACTGTATTGAAAATAAATTATATTTTAGATTAATTGATAAATTCAATTATTCATTAATTTTTGTGAATATGAATAAAAATATTTTTTCGCTTTGTATGCAAGAGGAAAAAAAATTACCATTTTTTATGAATATCATTTTAATTCCCGATTTTCGAATTCTCCTAAATAGAAAGTGTGGTATATGAAGTTGAAAACGATTAGATAAAGGATAGATAGCAAAGGACAACCTCTCCGTTTTCGCGTCGCATTTGATATTGGGTGTATTCTGGTATTTGCGATGAAAAGATTTCTGTTTGAGATAATTAAATTAATTTACGACAATTTATTTATTTATTTATTTTAACACACATTCCCCAAACTACAATAATTCGATTACCATGACACCTGTATGCCACTTCCAGTGCAGCCTTGGCGCTCCGCAACTGAAGCGTTTGTGTCATTTGAGACGCATATATGCTCTTATCCAAACGAGAAATTGACAACTCGAACCCCGCCCAATCAGCGCCCTCCTTTTATCACGTGATCAAAGATGGACAGAGAGATGTGGAAATTTGCATTATATTATCTTATAACAAACATATGCTTCATTAGTCAAAGATATTTATGATTCCCAAAATGTCGGAGACGAGAAATGAAAATTTTACGAATTCTGCTTCAGATGATAATTTGTATGACTTTAAAATGAGGTTGATGCGACCACCACCAAAATTTCTGGATACGGGATTTAGTGAAAGTTCTTTTGAAAACAAAATATTAAAACATTCCTTTTTGCCAAGCGAATTTTCATCAAATTGTAAATTTGGATCAAAAGTTTCATTTGGAATTGCAGCAAGGCTTGAGAACACTTCGAACAACAAAGAAAGTAAAAATGAAGAAACCGAAGAAAAATCTTTCGTGGAAACTAAGAAAATCAAATCGGAGAAACTTGAGGAAATCTCGAAGCCTTCAAACGGAAAAATAAAAACTGAAGATGAAAACAAATTCACCGACCCTGATCAGAAGCCACCTTTTTCGTATGTGGCTTTGATAGCCATGGCCATAAAAGAATCGACTGAGAAACGCCTTACTCTTAGTGGAATTTACCAATTTATCATCAGCAAATTTCCGTATTACGAGAAAAACAAAAAAGGATGGCAGAACAGTATTCGTCACAACTTAAGCTTAAATGAATGTTTTGTGAAAGTTCCCCGAGAGGGTGGCGGGGAGAGGAAGGGAAATTTTTGGACTCTGGATCCAGCATTTGAAGACATGTTTGAGAAAGGAAATTATCGCCGACGTCGGAGAATGAGGCGTCCGTACCGTGCTGCATTATCCCTCCCAAAGCCATTTTTTGCCCCAGAAACTCACTGTGGACCGTACAATCAATTTTCCCTGACCAAACCTTATTTCTCACCCCCTCCTTACTCTCAGTATTCCCAGTACCCAGGCTGGGCTCAAGCTCTGGCTCACAATTCTTCACAGGGAATGGCAAGTGCCATGAATCAAATCAACAATTACAGTTCTTGTACCCAGGGACGGGTACCTCCTCCGGGCGCCTCCATTGCACCGTGTAGCTACAACGCCATGCAACAGGCCATGCAGATATCCCCACCACACGCTCCCACGTACACACAGCTGAATGACTACCCAGCAGTCCCCACCCCCGGGACGGGGTTCCCCTTTACCTACAGACAACAGAGCGACACATTGAATCATATGCATTACACGTATTGGAGCGACAGGTATTTTATGTTAATGTTTTAAATTTTAAAATTGGACGCACTGTCTAAAAGAAGTCATTTTTCATAATATGGGCATAACTTTAATGTATTGAAATCTCAGGCACTTGTTTCGGAGATAAATTTTTAACCCATAGTAGTGTTATTATTATACCATGGGTTAAAAATGTATATCCGAAACATGTGCCTATGATTGAAGAAAGAGCATCGATATGCTACATCTATTACTTTGTTTATAAGCATCCCCATATTATACAAACTTAAATACATGTTTTGTATAAATATTTATGTAGTTATGTTGATATTTAAATTATTGGTGTCCTTCATTTTGTTTTTTGAAAACAAAAAATAATAGTTAGTTGCTTTAAACAAAATAAAATCAGAAAGCGGGAAAAAATATTTGCATATACAACGGTTATTATTTGGATAATAAAAATGACGTTTCACAAGAATGATAATACAATTTTAAAGGAATTAAATCTTAGAGCTTATCAGTAAAATAAGAAACAGTTTCAGATGTTTTCAAAACCCTGTTGCAATTTTTTTTTAAGCATGAAACATCTTTATCGAGATCTTTAGATCAAAATTTTCTTTTATATTTTTGAAGATTTCGATTTTTTTTTTCTATTTTGGTTTGATAGCATCATTTATTTTTTCATCTATAAGCATGAAAATAATTTTTTGCAAGATATTTTAATTATTCTTAAAACTAGAAAATGATATCGAAATAACGTAAAATATGTTTATTGCGATTTAACTATAGTATTAGATAAACAAAGGTTGATATAAAATATAATTCGATCCGCATTTTTGCGACAAAAATATTCCTTAAAAAATGCGCAGTGTATGAAAAAATACTTCCGATGGAGCCTTACTATCATGTCAATTTCAAGAAAACAATTTTTCTGTAAATATTATTCCGATAGTTTTATCATCCTAGTAAGTGGACAGTGGTATAATTTATTACAAAAAAAAATCAGATATTTTTTTTAAAAATTACCATAAAGTCTTCTATTTCATGTAGAGGAGATAATTTGCCGCGTGTTTAGTAATTAGTGCGCTATCTGATCGTACATGATCGTACGTGCTCCCCTCCCACTGATATAACAATAAGCTACAAGATTCCTCTCCGGTCCCGGGGGATTCCCCCTCGTCAATCAAGAGAGGCGCGGGTAAGCGCGTGCAGGTTTTTGTTTATCCATATTGGCCAACTGTTTATTTTGCATCTGTTTTTGTGGATAATCTCCACGAATATGAAACCTACACGGTTGTAAGTTACATTCAGTAGATGTTTGTCGTATGTTTCTGTTGCTTGAGACAGGACAAGGAAAATAAACCTGTTCAGTGTTATACACTACACACTATTTGGAAGTGTTGTATCCAATATTGCTTTGGCTTGCTATAAAATGTTTGGATATACAAGGTATAATTGATAATACTAAATAATAATGAAAAACGAAAAAAAAATAATGAAGAAAATCTGCCGAACTATATGAAAATGAAAGAAAAATTAGGTATCGACTACGTTCCGGATTTCCTTTAAAACATTTCTTTCTGGATGCAAAGTTCAATCTTTACCTCAAAAGATCTTTGGAATCTGGCCCCGGGATCATGAAGCATTTAGGTCAAATTTTTTTCTGTTGTACTAAAATATTGTGGAAGGCAAACAGGCCAAAATTAAACTGTTTCTCAATATTGTTTTTCAAAAGTGTTGTTATTTGCAAATCTAGAGATTTATTGAATAAATAATAAATATTTTACAGAAGATTGAAATTTTGACTTAATTCGAAGTTTGTTTCATGATCCCAGGGCCTGATGAAAATGTTAAGTGGTTTTTTTTTTCAGACAGACAGACACACTGAATACGTAAATAGAGATAAATTCAGATTCTCTGACGTAACATTAAATAAACAAATAAAAGAATAAATGAATAAAATTTATAAATGATAAAATATAAAATAAATTTTAAAAAGTGAATACTAGTAACTGAAAATTCGTAATAGAACAAATATAAAAACATTACACTTAATTACATTTATTATGCATATTGACAGTTGAATTTAATGTATAAATGATACCGGTATTTATAATCGTTTCAGAAAAAAGAATAATCACTTTATTACATGTGCATATATATTGACTTTTTTCTCTTTTTTAAAAAAATTCAATTTTGTTTTTATATTTTTATTTTAATATATATATGAATTCTCAAAATGTATTTCTTTTGTTAATTTTTTCGTTCGCTTTTTTTTCGATATGAATAGAAAATGTCCAGATGGGACCTCCTATTCAATATTCAATTCAATTCATTTATTATTACTATTACACGTTTACTCAAGTTAATATATTTATATATTAAGGAAGATTTTTTTTTATAAGATTGTCTCGAATACATAGTTTAAAATATTTGTCCTTTATCAATCTATAACAGAATTATTTTCTCCTGAAAGCTGTCATGTACATGTATGTACATAGACATTTATATTTACCTCGTAGTTTCAACAAATAAAAAATAAAAAAAAAAAGACAGAAAAAAAGAAGAAAAAGATCAAATCAGTTTCTAGTTAAAAAAAAAAGTTCAAGTGACTGATTAAACAGTCTAATAACAAACAAACTTGCAAATCAAATTAGTTGTTAAATATCTGTCAAAATTTATTTTTTATTTTTCAGATAAATGAAGGATATATCTCAGGAGAAGCAGTGTGCAGATCTCTGTATAAAATCTGGATCGTGAGGGTGTCATTCTGAACTGTTATTACAGAAAAACCATTTACATGTATCATTGTGCCATTCATAATTTATTCTGTTCATCTTTATCAATAATTTATTTGCAAAGAAATACCCCTATTGTGATAAATATGTATCTACAAATACAGTGTTGCAATTCTCTTTCACTTGGACAAAAATTCCACTTGAACCCAAGACCATTGAAATCAGAATTTTGTTTTCATAATTTAACAGCCTCCGGAGAAACAAACAAACGTGAAGTCCCATGCATGCTGGGAAGGAAATGCATGATTACAGAGACATATGCTTAATTCTCTCCAGCTGATACAAACCCACACTTAGAAATTTCTTTTTATCTCAAATTTCATTTGAACAAAAAACAATTTTTATATCCTGTCTTAAATCTAGATTTTTAAAATTATTTTTTATATGATTTTTTAAAAGAAACAGATTAAATATTTCATTTATGAGATGGAAACTCCAAAAATTTGGGGGGGGGGGTATAATCAACTTAAAATTCTTCTTATTGTTTAAAGGGTTCTTCGCTTTCATTGTTTGTACACAGTGTATATTTAAAATTAAATAAAAATAAATTTCCAATGATTCAGAATTTCTGTGTTGTGGATAAGGTTAAGTGAACTTGTATTCCGGAACCTTACCTTGCGAAGAAAATAATTAAGTTGATATTTACAATTTATAGAAAAAAATACTTTCAATTAATCAGGAAGCTTCATTAATCGGACAATTAACGTCCGGATGGAGAGGTTCGACTGTATTTTCCATATTGGAACATTTTAAATATTTTGTCGAGACTATCAAGCAAATATTTTGGAAGCAAATATATTTTAAACCCGACGATCGTATCACTGCAATTACGCAAGCATTTAAATGAGCGAAAGAAGCTGAAAGCTGAAAAATCTTCACTGTATAGTAACAAAAAGGTTTTAGACAATTTTGTGACAATGCAAAATGGGGATTACAACAACGACCTTTCTTACGGAAAATCGCTTAAATATTACACAGTCTGTGTGACCACTATTTATTTACACATAGACTTTTTCTTTTATTGGCTCTTTCTTCATATACTCGTACAATGTTATAAATAAAATGCATGCAACAAATTTAACTATAGACAATAACATTTATCTGCATCTTACAAGACAAGGTTTCTGATTCATAGATCATTAAAAATTGTTTGTGAAGCTTACTATCTGCATAAATTTACACACAGACTTATATTTATGTATTTAGGAAAAACTGACATGATGTCTGCGTAATTTTTAAAAAACAAAATGAATAAAATTATTTTTTTTATTTTTTTTTTTAACAAAAAAGAGAATATTTCGGTATAGCCTTTCACATACATGTATTCAGAATAAGAGATGAGAGGTTAAATTCCCCATAAGTAAAATAATTAATTTCTGGCACCATCCTCTTAAATACAAGTGCACATTAATTTTAAAAAAAAGTGTTTTAAAGAAGCCAAAGAATCCGAGGAATGTTGTTTGGAAGAATTAGGAATGGAGCTAATGTTAGTAATTTATGCAAACTAATATAATTATTTTGGGTGAAAGTGTTTTCAGATATGTTAAAGGTACCCTAGATCTTCAAGGTCAAGAAATAAAAAAATAACATTAATGGTACCCAAAGAAAGGTTTTGTCCCAGTAAATACAATTGTGACATATAAAGCCCAATTGCAACCACTCAGAAAATATTGATACGATATACCCCAAAAATCAAGATCTTAATATCAAAGACGTTGGTAAGCTTTTCTCGAAAAAAAATACACATATGACATTGGAAATTCCTAGCACCCCGGAATAACTCTTCAAAAGTTATAATTATAGCAAAGGTTTTAGTTTTTATGCCCATGATATCAAGGATTCGGGGTATATAGTTTTTGTCCTGTCTGTCTGTTTATCTGTTTGTCCGCAAAAACTTTAACATTGGCGAAAACTTTTGACTGCATGGTTCAAACTATGGCTTTAACTAATTTTAACCTTGGCCTTAATGTTTGAACAGTTTGTGCTAAGGTTTTCAAACTTCGTTTGTGAAACACTGATGCCACGTATGGCAGATTGCGAGGATTGAAGTTTTTCAAATGCAAGTCAAATCCAAGGTCAAGGTCAAAATTGTTGGCATCCAGAGAAATGTCTTATCACAAGAATTACACTTGTGAAAAATGAAAGCCCTTGTACAAACTGATCAAAAGTTTTGGCCTAGGTTAAAGTTTTTAAAAAGTAGGTCAAACTATAAGGGCAAGGTCAAAATGTCCAGAACTTTTAAACCCATTGAAAGGTATTGTCAAAATAAATATACACGTGAATAGCACCAACTGTTCAAAAGTTATGGCAAAGGTTAAAGTTTGATATTTTTTGTATAGGTCGGTCAAACTCCAAGGTCAAAGATAAGAGGTCAAAGTTTGTGGTACCCGCAGAAAGGCTTTGTCAAAAGGAATACACCAATGAAATATGAAAGTCATAGCCACACCCATTCAAAATTTATAGCAAGGTTAAAGATTTTGTGGACAAATAGACAGACAGACAGACAGAAAACTAGATAGACAGACGGACAGACAGGACAAAAACTATATACTCCTGAATCTTCTATTACGGGTGCATAAAGAACTTTAACTTTGGGCATTTCACATTGTATTTCATGTGATAAGACCTTCCTTTGGATATCAACAATTTTGACCTTGGAGACTGACCTACTTTAACCTTGGCCATACATTCTGAGATGTTTTGCTTGGGCTTTCACATTTCACATGTGTAGACCCACATTTAAAAACTTTTACCTTGACCTTGATGGTTAGTGCATTGGCTTTCACATTTCACAGATTTCCTCATGGCCTTGAACTTTGAGTTGATCTTTATTTAAAAAAAAAAAAAGATTTGTTTGTGAAACATCAGCAGCATCATTTTCATCAAAGACATATTAATTGAGAGGACAAATTATTTCTTAAAGTTACATTTTTTATCACTTTGGAGTTTGACCTGCATTTGAGAAATTCAACCAAAAGCTATCATACTGAAATTTAGAGCATACATGAAATGTTCCTTGTTTCTGCTAGGAATAACTTATGCATGCAATGGCCCCCTCCCTCGCAAGAAGCTAAACACCTGTTATTTGTCAAAAATGGAACCCCAACCCCCGATGATATTATCAATCTTGACTTAAACACAAGTGTTGCAATGCATTTTATTTCCATTGCCTTATTTTAAACTTTTTACATTGTATAGTAATACTTTGTGCCCTTGATTGCTAGATGATTGTATCTTGTTTAACGTCTCTCTCGGTTGAGAATTATTCTCTCGTATGGTGACATTGCCATTACTGGTAAAGTTCCTGTCGCGAGGGGATGCTCCGCCTAGCGGTGCTCTTGTTTTTGAATCGTTATACAATCAGTACGTGTGTGGCATGACTTAATTGTTAAATGAAATATCTGTCATAAATATTCAAAATTAAATCATACCTATACCCACTTTCCTTCTATAAAATGTTTATGATATATACATTTTTTTCCTGTTATTTTAAAATTCCTATATATTGGATCAACCCTTTATTGATTTCCTTCTTCCCATGCTGTTTTTAAAGTCTATGTTTACAATTTATCAATTATCATCTCAAAATGTACTTAATTATTTCGTTCGGAAATCAACATCTATGGATCCATGTTCAGAACCGAAAAACCATCTAAAATATCAATAAGTGACACAGACAAGACGATATACCAGACAAACATCAGTTCCTATTTAATCACAGAAAGAGATAATTTTCGAAAGCCATTATTACATTTCTATCTATTCATGTTCATGATGTTCAAAACCGCAAAACCATCGAAAATATGAATAAGTGACACACACAAGAAGATATATCATGCAGACAGACATCAGTTTCGATTCAGTCAGGAAAGAGCTAATCTTCGAAATCCATTATTATATTTTGAAACCCTAGCTGGTTCCCGTACCAATATTTAAGTGATCACCAACGATAAGAGTAAACAACCCCCCTCTCGTCTAGCGCCATCACCAGATCCCTTAATTACTCGGGAACAACGTTAATCTACTTTTATCCTCATGCCCTCTTGCAGATGAACAGTCAGGGGAAAAGTTTTGACACACGCATCCATGCAGAGTAAACATTTTGACAAATATTGGCTCACCTCAAAGAATTTTTTCCAAACTTTTTTGTGGCCAAAATGCAACTGGCGCGCGGGCTTTCACTCAACGTTGTATCGGAATGCTTATTTTTCCAGCGAATGTCATATAAAAAGTTAATTTTGTAACAACAACAAATAATCCTAATGGTGTTTTTAGTGTTTAACTGAATCTAAATGCCATGATGCCTCAAGTAATGGAACGGAAATTATCCATTTGAAAAAAAATCTTATGGAAAACGCATAGAACTACGTGTACTAGTATATTAATATCAAGAATTGTTATTAATAAAATTGATTAAAAATTGGATTTTTAAAAAAGATTATATTAAGCATATTTCCTCTTTCACTCTCCTTTTTAACTCACAATAATTAATTTAATTATTTTAATATTTTACATATGTACATTGATGTTGATAGTTTTGCTTTTATTTTTTTTTTATTTATCAATTCATAATTATATACCGGTATTTATTTATAAATTTATTTATTTCAAAGATAAATATTTTAATTCTTATTCATATTTGCATAGATTTATACTTCCTTTTTTCTACCATTCATATTGTTCATCATCATAAGGAATCAATTTGGGAAACATGGGATAATTTGCATAACGGGCGAAGCCCGTTATTTATTTCAAAGATAAATATTTTAATTCTTATTTCTAACTAGACAGTGATTCCTTATATTCTCATTTCATTGTGAAATAAAATGGTAGCTTTAGACTTTAAAAATGTAGACATAGAATTAAATTACACGAGGACTTCCATGTCAATTTCAATAGTCCTCGCCCAAACAACTAGGCAGCCGCACGAGATTTACATGCCCATTTTGCCTCCTTAGCATCAGACACAGAGACAGATGCGCACGAGATTTACATGCATTTTAGGCCTCCTTAGCTCCTGACCTAACGACCTGCCTAATTTACATTCCGGCAGAATTATCAAGAAATAAACTCCGACAACTTTCAAAGAGTTATCGCAGAGAAAAAAAATTAGAAATGGAAATATTTTGGAATTAATCTTCTTTAGCATATTTGTCAAAAATAAAATGCATAGAATATATAAAACTCTATAATCAGGGTATTGAAAAATATTTCTTTACACATGAAAATACTTTGTTACCAGAAATATGATACGGCTTTGATAGGTCTAATAAATCTGAAAAATAATAACAAATAAATGTACTAGTCTAGTATTTTTTGGAATGCAGAATGGAAAAGCGATATTTAGGGTATATGACTTCAAATGAGCAATCCTCTACAAGGTTCTAGAGGGTCCTGACTCTAAGTAACAGTCCTATGCACGACTACGTCTCCTTATGTTGTAAGGATGATTTTAGACTTTATGTGGAGGCGGGGGGGGGGATAAGTTAGCAATATGAAAATTATAATACATTTACATAAGTTTCAGAGATCATCAAATTCAAATGTACATGTATTTCATAACAATGAAGGGTTAATAAATTATGTGGAAGTACTCGCTGACATATTTCTAATAAAAATTGAGACTGATTTCTTCTTAGAGTGCAGTTAACATAATTATTACCTTTTTAAATAAAATACACAAATTCAGGTCACTGTGAAAAGACTTTCAGGGGGCGAGACTATCTCAGCTAACATATCGGTGTCGTGTGTATTTATTTAGCTTGAAAAGTCCTACCCTTATATCAATATTGAACTCATTACCAATATTTGATTTTTTTAAAAGGACTTCGGGTACAAAAAGCATACTTTATTTTTTACCGTTTAAAAACTGTAACACCATTTTATACAGCTCTCCATAACACAGCTCAAACTCTCACTAGATAAATAAATGCAGTGTAGCATTTTAATTTCAGATATTTTTTTTGTTTGTTTGTTGTTTGTGAGGGTGTGTGTGTGTGTTTGTTTGTTCGTTTGTTGTTATTTTTTTTTTTTAGTATGTTTTTGTTTTGTTTTGTTTTGTTTTGTTTTTGGCTACTGTAGTCACAGGTACTTGTTTCGGAAATAAATTTAACCCATAATATAATAGTCTTATTATTAGTACTACGGGTAAAATTTATTTTCGAAACAAGTGCCTGTGACTGTAGTTCACACTTAGTTCGTTGATTGTTTCTACCTCCGTTACATATAGTGACGACAAATTTCCATTATTATACAAACTTCTTCAAAGAAATGTTTTCATCTAAGAAAAATATTTACAGTATCTGCTCATAACCTGCGAATCTTATGTTGAATCTCACAGAACCCTATATTTGTTTTCTTTCCGGGATTGTATTCACTTCTGACTATTTATTTGTAATTTTTCTTGGTCCATCAAAATTCATCCGACCTCCCAAGCACCCAGTCATGTTGTGAAGAAAAAAACACCAAAGCATAGCTCTTTTTCTTCGTAATCGTATATTTAGTTTTCCGCATAGATTATTTTTTCATCTTGACGTTGGAATTAAATGAACGAAATGCCCTTCCGTGCTGTTTTCTTGCGCACAAGTCAAAATTGCATCTGCATTCATCCGAAATAATCCGTAAAACCCACCGCGTAAGCCCCGATAAAAGAGAAAGTAATATAGCATTTCGCCAATGTCCTGTTCGGTTTCCTGCTTTCAATTCGTCCGGTGTGATTTTTAAGTTTTCTCTCCAAATCTATCAGCAATAATTAGCCTTTTTCTTTATTTTATCTTCTAAACAAATGCACGGATTTCTTGTTCAACAGATGTTTTTGTGTAGCTCTTAACTCTGGCATATGTTTTACAAACAAGATACTGAAACGGAAAACGGTTGCTGAAAGCTCGACTAATCATCGGCGAGGCGGGCGATTCGATGTCCCATTTGAACCATGGGATTTGTTGAGTCCTCTTAAACTGCAGAATCATTGATGTTTCTGGTGATAGAACAGAAGACAAGCATGAAACAACTGCCCAGTAGCTACAGATTCCTGCATTGGTACAGAACTATCGATGGTATACACTATATACTTATATACTTGCTTTCATTTCTTCAACGAACTTACTGGGTAAGATCCCGTTTGAAGACTATTATCAAAACATCATCAGCTAATTCAGCTGAATTCTCCATTCATTTTTTATTCAGACCAGTTGGCTGGTAGTCTATTCCTTTTTATGGCTCTGTGATCAAAGACTCGATTGGAGTCAAAGTTTTTGGTCTATCCGTCTGTTTGTCTGTCAATGAGTGTCTCTTATCTGTTTGCATGACGGTCTGCAAAAACTTTGGCCCTGCCCATAAACGTTGATTGGTTGATGCTAGGTTTTCATAGGTATTCCTTTCAAAATCTCTCTTTGGACACCAACACACATGAATTTAACCTTTTGAACTGGACCTCAGAGTTAAAGCTACCCTTTGTAAAAATTTGAAAAACTATTATTAGCTTTGGTCATAAGTCTTGAATGGTTGGTGCTATAGCATATATACACTGTATATATTTCATTCTACACTACCTCAGGTTGCTTCTACATTAGTTTCAGCTTTTCTGGCCAAATGGATCTTGAGAATACTTTTTAATGTCCCCACCCCATTTTTGTCTTTTCTTGATTATCTACCCTTAAATTGGAAGCGGGCTTGGTCCTTGCTTTTTTTACAATTCAAAACCCCCTTTACTCAAGGATGCTTTTACCTATACTTACATTGTAAGTTAAAATTTACCCAGTGGGTTAATGATAAGAAGGTGAAAATGTGAAAATGTTACAGACGGACAGACAGCTAAACAGACGGACGGACGCTGGACAAAAGGTGCTCAGCAAAGCTCACTAATTGAGCCTTCGGTTCATGTGAGCTAAAAAGCCTAACTTTGGCCTTGAACTCCCATACATGTATGGCATCGATCAGTGTTTCACAAAGTCATCGTCATATATTTAAGACCCTGAACTTAATTAATTTAAATCTGTAGTTGATTGTGAATAAAAAGGCATCATTATGTGATAAAAAGAATTTACTTAACTTACTTAACATTTTTAAAGAAATACTAGTATTTATATAAGATACTTGTGTAATACACTGTATTATAAATGTCAAAGCCAATTAAGTTTCATCAATTCTGGTGTACTTTAACCGGGTTATGAGCGGAGATTTCCTGTAACTTTTTCTATATGGAAAATTATAGTTTGAGTTTATAAATAATTTTCACTATATACTCATCTTAATTGTTCAAGGGCGGATGATATCAAGCGTGTATAACTAGCGATAGACATTCCAAAAAAAAAAACGACAATTATTTTTGCAATGAATGAAGTTACTTCTTTATCCATAAAACTTTATTTTAACGATGGAGTTTTGCATCATCACCTGTCCACCTCAACTCAATATAATAAACTCTGTTGATGTGAATCAATTGGCTCAGAACCTTGGGCTGACTTTCAATTGAATGATAATTTGAAAAATATGGAAAGCGACCAAAAGCACGTTCACAGCGATTTAACATTGTATGTCATTCGTGTACCTGAAAACATGCAGCTGTTTAATCAATTCAAACTTAATCGATCAAAAAAATATATATTTCATACAGTGTATAAAAATAATAAATATTTTAAACTTTAGGAAATTTTTTTATGGCACTATAATGTGTTTTAATACTGGATGGACATGCATGTGTATTCATAAAATAATGACCACATATTATGTTCACAAGTGCAAAAATTTAAATGCTTAATTGAATCTTTGTCTTTGGAATATTTTCAGTTATCACATACTGGCGCTTTGAGTTGGATTTTTTTCACGGTTTTCAATCGTCAAAGTTAACTAAATATGTATTTGGAGTAGCATCTTTCACATTCCCTAACATAATTAATGTTTCAACAAATCTTAGGAGTATATGTCAGATTTTAAGTCGGTGCGGTTAACAGTCAAAAACAGTGATATTTACAAAACAAAGACCTAGGTCGGGTGAGGTCAATGCGATCCTTTGGAAGACCCTGATCCTCTGCGCTTATGGTGTCCTTTCTTTCGGCCTTTTCCGGAGCCTTTTCGGCTATGTCCGGAGCCCTTTCGGCTGTGTCCGGAATGTGGGCGGGGTCCTCCACACTTACAGAATTTGTTGACTTCTTTCATGACTCCCCCATTTCCTTTACCACTGCAGCATACATTCCCCATCTGAGACAGACATAAAATATTGATAAAAATCTTAATATACCGGTAAAAATATCTAAAGTTATAAATAGTTTCATAGTTTGAGGTGTTTTTTACTTGTTTATACAAACACTTTACTAATTGTGTTTGTGGAAAAATCGAAACAACAACACACTTTTTATCAGAATGTCTTCTATACACTGACTCAAGGAAAAAATTCATCGACCCATTAGGACCAGTCACTTTACACATTCTCTTATTTGGAGATTCTACTAAGAATTATTCCTTCAATACCAACATTTTTAAACATGTGCATCAATTTATTTCTGCCTCTAAAAGATTTGTAACTTGAATATTACTTGTGGCCGTATTGCTATTATGTTTGATTTTGTACTGCAATGTATGACTGTGTTTATTCCTCATTTACTATCAATGTTAATTTATGTTATGATATCTCTCTCTACATTTTTTTTTCTTCTCAGTTTTGTTTCATCTTTATTTTTTATCTGTTATTTTTCCCATTATACCTGTCATTCAACAAGGGCAAATGTTTATTTATAGTTGAAATTTAACTTAAGGAAACGGATTAATATAAGTTGTTACAACTTGTTTCGGAATCCTGTTTGTATTATGTATTGTGTATATATATGATGTCTAATTTAAATGAAATAAAGTTTAAACTAAACACTTTACTTGTATTTTTCATGCAACTTCGATATAACCAGATTTTGTTTTAGAATTGGAGTTAAACAAGAATACATAAACACTTAATATGGTGTTACATTTGTAAATTTAATTAAAAAAAAAAAATCAATAAAACATAATGAAAATAAACATAAAAAAAAGAAACAAAATTCGAAAAATAGAAAATATATAAGAGAAGACAACACCCCCTACCCCCTTCTCCCCAAATAACATGTACGTCCCTTAGAAACAGTCTCACAATTATTGAATTATATTTATTAGAGATCTTTTCATTACATTTTAAATAGATCGAGTAATATAATGCACGCTTACGTCAACAGTTGGATTTATTTGTTTAGCTCTCAATCACACGTAAACGCACTCAATACTCCCTGCCTAGTTTCGCTATACTGTCCCTTTTGTGTCTTTTACAATACTCTGCATTCAGTGCATATCACTAAGAATACTTCGCTTTCAGTTGGCCTTTATGCATATATTTAATTGCTTTGTCAACGATTAGAATTTTAAAAAAAAAATTATAATAAAGAGAATTCGTTTTAAGCGATTTAAACAATTGTATTAGTTCAATACGCTGTAAGAATACCTGCCCCATTAAGATTTTGTGTCATTTTGATGCAAATTGTTTGATTTCTCCTGATATACATACTGTAACTAACAACAAATCTTTGCATGGGGAGCCCCAACAAAGACCGTTGTGACATGACCCGGCGAGTTTTCCTTTGAAGTCAACCGTACTGTAACTGCGATACAGAACACTTTTTGTGGGCGTTTCTTATGCAAATGAGCAGAAACTGTACTGTATCTGCAAAATATCAAAGATACAGTACGGTTTATTTTTAGCGATGACGGAAAGCTGTATTCATATTCAGACACAACAATCGTTCAATTCGCATGATAGCACTGTTAGTAATTACTCAAAATTTGAGGTGATTTTATTAAGAATAAAATTTTACAAAATAAACTTATATGAGTGTCAGATTCAAAAAATTTAGAAAGGAGGGAGTGGGGCAGATCAAAAAGGACTATCTTGACCCCCCTAAAAAATCCCTGAAAATCGTATTGGGGGGGGGGGGTAGGTTTATAATCAACCAAGACACTATGTGCGTGAAATCGTTACTTGTTGATAAATTAAAAAGAGTATGTATATACGATTGGCAAAAATAATTTACAAAAGCGAAAAAAGAAAAAAAAAAACTTTAAGTTGGGTGGGATTGGGGGGGGGGGGGGCAAGTGTGAGTACTGGACCCCCCTTTGGTTACTCTACATTTTATTAAAAACATGAAAGTAAAATACCCCCCCCCCCTTTCTTTCATCTGTTTATTTCAATTTTGTATATGATTACAGGTTAGAGGATATTGTCGGAGATTTCTCTCAGTATACGATATCCCCGAAGCATTTTTGTTTCAAAATATGATTCTTATATATAAAAATGTTTTGCATTAATTCATAGCTTAAATAAAAAAAAATGTCAGCAAGAGCTGAATTGAGAAAAAAAAAGAAACATACCCAATCAAATCTAAATAAATTTTTTGGAAAACAAATTATATAATGCATCCCTCAAATAATTATTTTTAAAATAATAGTAAATAATTACCTGCACGTCCACCTCACTCGGCATTTCAGTTGCGAATGCTTAAAATGGGATACTAAATCAACTTTCTGCTAAAATCATCTGATTGGTTGAGAGACATGTACCCAAATATGAATGTAAATTGGTGAGGTCATTAGAAAGATCATGTCACAAGTCATTTAGAATACTCGTTTCCTTGTATCAGAGATACATGGCGGGGCCCGGCTCGAGCTATCGCTCTCGCCTCAAGCCCCGCCCTGTATCTCTGATACAGTAGGGAACTCGTACTCTAAATAATACTTAATATTAATAGAAAAAAAATCGATTTTAATGTTTTGTGATATTTATTTTTCGTTTGCACAAAACAAGTTGAATTTTAAAATGCAAATATTTTTGAGTAGTAATTTGAAAAAGAAATACCATCTAAAATCTTTATTGTGAATATTGCTTTATGGTTGTTGTCAAATCAACATGCAACTACATGCATAATTCCTGTCAGATGAAGCATATGAGGATTTTTTTTAAATATTAAATTATTTTTTTTTTATTTCATTCAACCTGATCGATATTTAATTATGTTTTATATTCCAGAAGACATGGTCCCCAACACTGCCTGACTAAGTACACAAAATAAATTATAAAATCTGGGTAATTTTATTTATAAGGGGTTGTAAATCCCTTCCTGCGAACTAGATTGTTTAGTTTGTTAAAGGGAGAAAAAAAAAACTTTATTGTAGGGTGTGAACGAATTTACTGTTTATCTTTATCAAGCATCCTTATACGACTTTAAATATATAAAGATCATTTAACAGTTTCGCGAAATTCATTTCGAGGAATTCTAAATGATTTTTATAGCATATTAATTGATTGGGAGAGACTCTCTCAGACACAATCACGTACACACACAATAAATAAAGCATACAATTTATATGTTTCAAAGTAATACACATGCAGTGCAGTCTCATTTTTTTTTTTTTATTTCGACGGTTATATTTTTCTTCAACGCTTTTGGTACTGGAGCATTTTTTTTATAATTTATAACTAATAACTTGATTGTACTCTATTCCTATAAAAAAAAATCCATTTTTCATTTTGTACAATTGTATAAGAATGATCTTATATCAGTCCTAAGGTAGTTTTTATTAAGCAGTGCGCTCTACTTATATGTTATTATTATTATTTATATCAAATTTCTGAAACCGCTATACTGAATGTCACAAATGATAATATACTAGTAAGTGTCTTTATACTTTCTGATTATTATTTAAGGCTCGAGCTCAATGAACCTTTAAGAAGAGAGACAACTCTCGCTTTGATTGCAGTTTCATTTCATGCAAATTGTCAAAAAAAAAAGCGATTTCTTAAAGTTTGTACCTAGATTTGTTTCCATGTCAATGGCAGATTTCTTTTACAAAATTTGTGAGACTGAACAAATCGAAGATGAACCGAACTAATTCCAGAATTCTTTTTCTATATATGGAAAATATCTTACGAGAGTAAGAATAGCTGAAGCAGTTAACTGTAGGGCATCCGTTTAAATTTTCAGTTTTTACATCATTGTGATATATTCATCCATATTTTTTCTTGATTTTTACACATACATATGCTTTTTCAAGAAAATTGATAAAATGTATATTTTCTTGCAATTTTTGGCAACAGTGTCCATAGCGTTAATTTATATTTTTAAAATTATTAAAGATTTACAGCAAAAGTGACAAACTAGACAAACATTTTCTACAGTACAACTTACCTTTAAATGTAATTTATAAAGTGCAGTGAAGCCTCTCGGTTAGAGATTCTATTTGCAGTGAAGTTACGCTGGTCGGCTGCTAATATGGCGGTTACTAAGGCGCTACCCATCAGAATCGATAACAAACAAAACACAAGGACCCCTACACAAGAGCTGATTTGAAAAATATAACTAGACTTTGAATAAAAGTGTTGACTTGTATATTAATGTGAACTTTTAAATTCATGTTTGTTCGTAGGTGGGGTATTTGCTTGGACAATTCCATAGGACGCGTTCGTTGCATGGTCTCAATTTATACCCGGTATAAAATGCATGATCTACGATCATTTTGCACTGATTGTAATATTTGTATTTCAGTTATATATACGTACGTAGTAGGCCAAAAAATTTACAACATACAGTTACAATTTTTACTCCCCACCCCCAATCCAAAATCTTATTCCGGAAGGGGTTGGATGGGTCTAAATTCCTTTTTCGACTAAATTTTATCAGTATCTTACCAAGTAACCATGTTTTAACTGTGCTACAAAAGTGGGGAGGGGTATTGAACAATGGTATGATTAATAGTAGCAAATAACTCATATAATTATATTCTTGCTCTAAAGTAAAGGATTATATTTATGGGAAGAAGAAAAGAGTGTGAGCATCTGTGTAGATCCCATTCCCGCTGGTTCCCTGGTTCTACAGAACCTGCCTGTATATTTTTTTTTTAAAATCATAGATACATGTACCATATACCTAAATAAACATGCATTATGTGAAAACATTTTAAACGTTAGTGATGATATATTTTGCCAATCGAACACTTGAAAATCCGTAATCATTTAAGTTTTGCGCGTTCATCAAACAAAGTTATAAAATACGATTCATTTTGTACACAGCTGATTGTACAGATATCCTTCCTCATAAAATTTACATATACAAAGTGCTTTATTATCATATACATATCAAAGGCATACACTTTCAGTATAAATCGTGTTTTACAGGCGCGCGGATCAAGGATTTTTTTCCAGGGGAGGGGCTCCACCCAGGTCAACATAAAAAAAAAAACGTAAATTCATACTACATATTTCGGGAAGGGGGAAATTAATCGTTGATTTTTAAAGGTTCATACCTTTGACTTAATATTTTCATATCATTTTCACATAGATCCTCGTTTTCGGGAAGGGGTCCGCGTTTTCTAGGGGGTCCACTTACATGTACTTACATAAAAGGATTCGGAAAGTAATAAATGAAGTGTTATTAGTCTTTTTTCTCAAGATAATTTATGATCAGCATGAATTAATGCATTTTCCACTATGATAAACCTACCTATAAATTATTTTGAAGGAAGAAATTCTTGAATGATGTAGGCGAATCCATGCATATATGTCCACTTCTTCAAGTTCAAGAGGATATATGGGGAGGGGGGTTACAGTATGTCGTGCACCAAATACTTGTGCAAAATTATAGTATACATGTACTTACTTTATGCCCCCCCCCATATACATGTGTAATCCCCGAAAAATGTTTCCTACGAGCCTCGATATACGTCCATGTCTCTTTATGTATTATGTGCAGAGCCCTACTAATTATTCCGGATATATTTTATGGACCAGTTCCAGTTTTTCAATTTAGCGTGTTTGTAAAGGGAGGTAACATGTAAACTTCCTGTAATGTTCTCGATGCTGACCATGTAGATATTTCATTGAATAGGATTTCCAATTTAAAACGTAATTTAAGGGTAACAAGATCAATTATATAAATATTTAATACATAAAGATATTGATGAAAATTAATGTATCGATTTCAAATCTTCTTTTCACGAAATATCACATGAAAGAAGTCATATGTGGACGAATTGCAATTCGAAATTCAGTTTTATAACAAATAAATTGTTATCGCTATTGTAAATGAAATCCACAAATGTTGTATGAATTATTTTTATATGTAATATATTATTGACGATATTGCGTGCTGATACTTACAGATATCTAAAATGACAGACAAGGCTACCCCTAATCCTCTTGAACAGTTTGTTCTGTTGGCCAAAACTGCAAAGGGGGCAGGAGCTGTAGAATTAATCAAGCAAGCTCTTGATGCTCAAGGCGTATATGTATTTGGAGAACTTCTGGATATGCCACATATTCAAGAGGTAAATACTGTGAATCACAAGATGTTGACATCTGACAACACGATTCTAGTCTACATGCAGCTGATAACATTCTCTATGAAATTGTATTTCTTTAAAAAATTGATTAAGATCAGAGTTCTTGAAATCTTTTTTTCACTGTCAGTCATTTGGACTGACTGCCATGTGAAGTCCGTCAGTCCAGACAGATTTCTATCAGTCCAATGTAAATTCAATAAAAAGATGAAAACTTTATTCAAATTTTATTATCAATATATTGTGCACCCTTTGTCAATAAACACTGCACACTTCATTCTGATTTGATCGTCAACTTTCTTTGAATTATCTCGGTGGTTGTTTCTTCATAGGTTTTTAATCTAGTTCGATTTTCTCAGAAATTTTTCAATGCACATTTTAAAAGCAGCTCAATATTTTAAGTAAACCGTCAGTCAAACGTTTTGATTGCAAAAGAAACTATCCTCTGCCACCTTTGAAAGATTACGATCAAACGGTTATTGGGAATTTGTACGAAATTTAGTTGGATTTTCGCAAGTTCGTCTGTAAACACTTACCGGTCATTTGGACTGACACAGAACGCAAAGTAATCAGTCCTTGGTTGTTTTTATCCGTCTTGCCGACAGGACCGAAAGATTTCAAGAACTCTGTAAGATGAAAACCTATAACTGTTTAACAAGTTCTTGTTTCTATATTCTTATACAATATTTTTGCAGGATTTTATAATATACCTTCATTTGTTTACGTATTTTTCAGCTTGCCTCTGGTCCTCATTCACAGTATCACAATCTCCTCAATATATTTGCGTATGGAAGTTACAAAGATTACAAAGGTACTACAAATGTTTTATTTAAAACATAAGATTATTGATTTATCAAATTCTTATTTTTGTTCAGTGAACTTTCTTATAAAAATATGATACATACTAAATTAGTTATCTTTATGACTTACAGCAGGTGCTGCGAACTTGCCAGCACTTAGTCCAGCACAGCTTACAAAACTGAGGCATCTGACTATTGTGTCATTAGCAACAAAGAATAAGGTATTATTTTACTTTCTGTAAAAAATGAAAAAAGCAGTTGCTTGTTCACTCATTTAACAGACAAACAGTGATGACTACTGAAGAACTGGAAACTTTGACAAAGTGGAAATGTTGACGGAATAAACAATTGACTCAAAATTGTTGACGGAATATACAAATCACTAAAATTGTCAGAATTTACACTGGTCAGCTTTTACATTCATAAAGATCACTGTTAAATAACAAGTAACTGTATATCAAAGTCTTTCAGATATACAAAAGTTATCAAACTTTCAGCACTTCAATGTAACCATGTTTATGGCATGTATTGAGAGGGTGAAATTTTGGAAATACAGGTGCTATATGTTTTGTCTTTGCAGTGCATTCCCTATTCAGTTCTTCTGGAGGAACTAGACATACAGAATCTAAGAACTCTTGAAGTAAGTCTCCATAAAAAAAGGTCCATCTATTCTGTTAGTTTTGAAAGTACATATAAATACATGTATATAGAAGTAAGCCATATGGCAGCCAAATGACAAACTATCAAGATTTGAACTTTGTGTTTCTGATATGCTATAGATGTTTGAATAAAAGATGGGTAAAAATCTTCAGATTTTGTATGTTACTTTATTTTTATATTTATACTAGTATTCTTTTTTGTAGGATTTAATTATTGAAGTGATCTATGCTGATATAGTACATGGAAAATTAGATCAGAAAAACCAGCAGTTAGAGGTTGATTATGCCCTGGGGCGAGACATTCGACCAGAGGCCGTCCCCGAAATCGTGTCTGTTCTGCAAGACTGGTAAAGTACCATGATGTATAAACATGTACATGTATTAAGCAAATTATACACTTAACACAGGTGATCAAAAAGTTTGAGGACTGGTTTGATAGAAAACTTGACATGTTTATCTCACATGATGTTGATGTAATTGCACCACTTAACAAACTTTTTGATCACCTCTTTTACATTGCAGCTATATACAGTGAAAAAGTATAAGGTGGAAAGACAAGTATATGTATCAGTAATACACTTACAAAACACAATACAGCAATGGGATGAAAAAACTATGAAACATACATTTTTATAAGGCTGAGCTCACTTATTAATAAAATGCATGTGAAAATTGACTTTGTTAGGTTAAGTTTATTGTGTAAAAAGCATTGTGAAGAAAATTGTTGGACAAACTTTCAGGTGTACAGGCTGTGAGGCGATGCTTCAGAGTATAGAATCCCAAATCTCCAAGGCGAACCAAAATAAGGAAAATAATATACGAATCAAACATCAAATAGAACAGGAGGTAGGACTTTTCATAAATTTTATGCTTTACAAGTCTCTCATTTGTTTTACTGGAATTACGAAAAAACAAGAACTTTCATGTTTGGAACACGATTTTACTGAATTAAGAAAAACAGCTTTAAAAACTACATTCAAACCTCAGTATGGAAAATACTGTGGCTTCCAGAAAAAAAATGTTAATTAGTGTATTCTAAATGTGTAAAAAATTATTATTATTTTATAATCAGGTGATAAATATAAAGAAAACTCTGAAGAATACACAGCAACAGGAATCAGAAGAACAGATGGTGACAGATAGCCAAGTGTCCATGTCCTGTGATAAACCCAGCAAGAAATCCTCCAAAACAAAAGGGTAACTATATATGCCACTGGAACAAATGTGTCCTTGTTACTTTACATACTGTACATTTTTTAGGGTTGTCTGGTAAAAATAGTAAGCATAGCATTTTAATTGCGCACCACCAAGGAATAAGATTTTTATAAGGGAATATGCTAGAAGTATTAAATAGATAAGGTTGGGGTAAAAATTATCAGATTTTTAAGTTCGCTCTCTATTATGTTGTCATTTTGAAAATACCAAGGAATTTGCCTAATTTTTGGCAGGAACAGTCTTTGAAATAAGAAATCAGTAAACATACTGCAAAATAAAATATGACGTTTGAAAACAAAACAGCTCTCTGAAGAGCAGTTCAGTTTGACCCTCTTAATATTTACAAAATGTAAGATATTCAATATCACCAATACATTAAAATACAAGTGGAATCGGTATTT